CAGGATTTTCTGGTCTTTGTGTCAAGACAATTTAATAGGTAGTTAAGACTTCATTTGGTCATCTTCTCCCACTGCTCCCTCTCCTCTCCTGAATCTCTCAAAAGATGGGGACACTGAACTCTTTGCTTTATTTTTGAAAGGGATACATACCAAAATAACCATACTGCTTGGAGGCTGATTTAGTTTGGATATCCAACATTGAATTTGTTCAATTGTTCCAGATGGAAATTAAGAAGAAAATTATCTTTTGGTTCAGCTGGATGTGAGAATTAGACTTTCTTCTGCTCTGCAAAATTTTCTCATGGAAATGCAAATGGATTTCAGCTTCCATCTGTTGCTTAATTAGTTTCATTGGTTTTTATCTTTTAAAAGCTTATTTTAGGGGGCATTGAAGATGTTTCCCCCCCAGCCGTCCTTCGGTAGTTTGATTTGGTAAGTGCCCAAATCTCTTCCTGTCTGGCATGTGAAGGTGCAGAAAAATATTGGGGGGGGGGAGGGACCCCAGAAAAAAATGACAAAACCAGGGCCCATTTGATGACTCACCTGTCTGAAGAAGAGCCTCCTTCTGGTAAGGCAGGTATTCCTGCACCATGTTAATGCAGGTCTCCTCCAGGTAGATTATATTCCTCTGGGACCTCCTTGTATCCTCCTCCCACTCCTCCTTGACCTTCTGGGCCTGCGGCTGAGCTGCCACCCATCTCAGGGTCTCCTTGTCGAAGCTGATGAAGTCCATCCCATTGTAGCCATAGTGCAAAAACCCTCCTTTGCTCCCGTCTTCTCTGAACTCACAGCCTAAACTCACCTGCCAGGTGTGAAGCCCTGAAAAAGGGGATAGGAATAATCCAGAGTTCCTCTTGCCTGGACACCCCACCATTGATTCAAATGTTTACTTCCATCCCACCAGCTGAGCCTGAAGCTGAAATACTGCTGTGGCCCATCAGCGGCCACCAGAGCTAGCAGCTGATTCAGACAGTGAGGAGGTTGGGGAGGAACCTGGGCCAGTCCTGGAGTCTGGGGAAGCCTCTGATGAGGGCTCTTTGTTGGAGGCAGAGATGAGGCCAGAGCCATAGGCCAGTTATCATCTGCCTTCAGAGTCAGACATCAGTGAGGCAGACAAATAGCTGGAGCCTGTTCCCAGTGTGCCCATGCGCAGAGTTGCCAGACAAGGGAACAGCTAAAGAACAGGGGTTGACTTGGGAGTAAGGTTACAAGTGGATGATGAATGGCCCCTCCCAGAGTAAATAAAAGAGGAGTGAAAGGGGAGTGGAGTTTGCAGGAGACAATAAGTTCGCTTAATTGGTTCAGGTCTCTCTGAGACTCCTTGCCATGTTTTACAGNGAAGGATGGCAGGGGGGGGGGACATCTTCAATGCCCCCTAAAATAAGTTTTTCTAAGATAAAAACCAATGAAACTAATTAAGCAAGAGATGGAGGCTGAGATTTCCATGAGAAAATCTTGCAGAGCAGAAGAAAGTCTAATTCTCACATCCAGCTGAACCAAAAGATAATTTTCTTCTTAATTTCCATCTGGACCAACTTTTACAAATTCAATGTGGGATATCCAAACTAAATCAGCACCCAAGCAGTACAATTATTTTGGTATGTGTCCCTTTCAAAAGTAAAAGCTAAAGAGTTCAGTGTCCCCATCTTTTGAGGGTCCCAGAGATTCAGGAGAGGAGAGGGAGCAGTGGGAGAAGATGACCAAATGAAGTCTTAACTACCTATTAAACTGTCTTGACACAAAGACCAGAAAATCCTGAGAACTCTGTTGTTGCTGTTTCTGCAGAGCCCCCCGTGGGGAAAGTGACTCACAAGGTGGTGGACGACAGCCTGGAGGTCCTCATCTGCCAGGCCTTTGGCTTCTACCCCAAGGAAATCCAGGCCACCTGGACCAGGGACGGAGAGGTCTGCCAGAATGAGACCCTCCATAGGAACGTGGCCCCCAACTCAGATGGGACCTATTATGTCCTGCTCAGCATTGAGATCGACCCCAAGGAGAGAGATCACTTTCAGTGTTACCTGGAGCACGAGGGCTTGCAGGAGCCCCTGGTCTTGGCCTTGAAGGAGGAAACAGGTGAGAGACTGAGCGATTATGACATGTCACATCTCGGTGAGATGGGTAGCAAATATATTTATTAAATAAATAAATAAAAATTTGTAGATTGTTCACTAATGTTGGCTGGTTTTCTGCTATCTAAAATTTTCCAAAGGAAAGGAGGAAATTTAGGACTGTGTCCAGTGGTGGTAAAGAAGTGATTATTGAGAGTGGAGTTGGAAGTGGAGACAAAAATAAAGAATATGATACGATATGGAGATAGAAGATATGAGAGATACGAAACACAGTTTTGTTTTCTGGCAGAATTATCTGATGAGACAATATGTGCTTTCTTTATCTAATCTCAAATTACTTAATCCTAGCTTTTCACTGTTAATCACTTTTTAATACATATTTAATAATATCCTTATACAAATTCTATTTATCTAATTTACAAACTACTTTTCAACCTATATAATTATAATAATATACATTACATGATTACCTTACTCATATATATTCAAAAATGATTTTTATCTCTTACACAACATACAAAGCAGTTACTAAACTTATATAATTCTAATATTCATACACATTGTTGAAACACTTTCACAGCATATTTTGCTGTACATTCCTTTTCTTTTCCTTTATCCCACATCTTTCACCCTCATCCAAATTTTTAATCTTCTTTTAGGGAGGGTTGTCTCCCATACATTTCTTTTAATTCTTTTATTTCACCTATTTTTGACGTGACCCGACATAACCGCGAACGTCAAAAGCGCGCCGACAACACCGCGGCGCTAAAACCGTGATGTCAAAAGCGCGCCCACAACAGCGCGCCGACAGAAGCGCGATTTAACTTAAGGTAAGGTTTAGGGTTAGGTTTAGGGTAGGTTTAGCGTTAGGTTTAGCATTATTTTTAGGGTTATGTTACAG